CCGGATGTACTGTCTACACTGGCTGTCTCTCACCCTTTACCCATCCCTGTTGCTTGTCATGTGTTTCTTTGGTGTATTAAGAGTTTTTTCATGTGCTCTTATATGCAGAGGTGTTTTTTTCTGTTCTCAAACTGATCTCCCTGTTGGAGCTCAGTCTGGGGGAGTTATTTTTTTCTCCTTATCTTTCCTCGTGTTGTGCATACTCCTCTGACCTGTCTTCCCCATGTGATGTTTTTGTGTCATGTATGTATGGTCGGGGGGTAAGATGGCGCCGCTATTGCGTGCACTAGATCGGCAGCCTTAACATGAAATTTCCCACCCGTGGGACTAATAAAGGTATCTTATCTTATTTGCTCAGGAGCACAGTTGAAATATGTTCTTTCCAAAGCGCTTCTTTATCTGGTCACTGTGCAGCAGGTGAGTTTTTCAACAACGCCTTAACTCTTAAATCACCTGTGAGACTTGGCGATGCATTCAAGTACACCCCTGAAAGGTCAGAGGTTTTGGAGTAACACGTTGGTGTACAGATGTGATGCACCTCAGTGGGAAACGTTCTCCCGTAACAACTTCACTCAAGCGTGTTAACAACTGAATTTGAGAAAGAGCTGATATTTTTTAAAAAGACAATCAAATTTCAACACTTGAAGAAGTTGCTTTAGGATGAAACATCCACACTTTGGTTTTACGCTTTAGATTTTAAACAGCATCTAAACTTTTTTTAGATGCTGTAAACAGAGTCAACTGAAGTGAATAATGTGGAAAAACCTTAAAAAGAAGCCACAGATGAAGGAGACTGCCCTCACATGACTGATTCAGACTCGTTAAAGGTGATGTCAACAGCCACATTCTCTTTAGAAATTAATCTTAAAAAGTCATTTTACCCTGTTGACTCAATCACATCCATTATACTTCTGATGTTTTTGGCCTGATTGGTGGACAATCGCCTGAAAGAAAAGTGGGATCTACAGCTGAAAGCAGCTCAGCAGCTCAGAATATCTGCCACAAAAACAAACAAAAAAGTTTGAACTGCGTGCAGCGGAGCTGTCGTGTCACGTCAAGTCACATTAATTTGTACAGCACGTTTAGCACGCGGTGTTGACCCAAAGTGCCCACGCAGAGGGATTAACCATTATAAATTCGTCTCCATGAACATGTTCAGAGCTATGCTGGTGTGTAAAACTGGATATTAAAGGATCGAGCGGGCTCCAGCTCGTCTCTGATCCAGCGTGGCGAGTTTCAACACGTCCCTGCAGCTCACATGCTGCGTGAAGCACTGCACAACTATTCTCACACAGCACGAGAAGTGAAAGTACTTCGAGTGCCCAGAGCTTCTGCTTTCACGGGGAAAGAGGAAGACGAGCAGCTTCCTGCTCCATCTTCATCTCCTGATGTTGACGTTTGGCCCGAGTGAGGCAGAGAGGCGCTCCTCCTCTGAGATAATCGGTGAGGAATGAAAGCGCTTCCTTTTGTTTCCTGTGAGGCAGGTTTCATTCATCCAGTAAAAAAGTATAGCCTGAAGCTTCTGATTCTTCATCTTCAGCCGCTGACACCGGATTATCTCAAGATCCCCTCAGTCATTTTAAACTTTGGCATTTTACACCCTATTTGAGTCGGTTTATGCCGACATGTGTTACATTTTAAAAGTTTAACTGCGTCGTTTTAAGGAAGGATTTCCTGAGCTTCAACAGAGCGAGATGAAAAGACGGCTGAAGAGTCAATTACAGCAAATTGCTGTTATTAACTGTGACAAATTCCCAGTAAAATCACAGATATTCCCGGTGCACTGATGCCAGATTTAATAGTAAAAAGTTAACACTTAAAAGCATTTCTTGATCTGGACAAGTTGCTTGAATGCCTTTACGGTAAAGATTTCACGGGGGTGGAATAACAATAGGTCTCTAAGGACAGCAGTGTGGAAAAACACTGGTATATTTCCACTGATTCCACTAATTTCTCTTAAACAATTTTAGGCTGTTCTTCCTTTGTTTTTCAACTGAACTGCTCAACAAATGAGAAAAATTACTTTTTTTCCTTCAAAGTCTCGGCATGAAAACACACGACAGGAAGTCTTCTTTTTTTTCCAGAACTGCTGTAAAACAGTTTGGGGTTGGGGTCGTCCCAGATCGTGACTTTATATCTCACAGGGTTCATCCAGGTTAAAATATGACTGTTGGCTGCACAATATCGTCTGCAGCGGTGGAAGAGTTTACCAATCAGTTGATGGGAAGAACGTGAACTGATCAATCGTGAAGTCTGTGTTTTTGAGGTCTGGACTGTTATGGTAAATGGTAAATGGCCTGCATTTGTATAGCGCTTTTCTAGTCCATAGGACCCCAAAGCGCTTTACACTACATTCAGTCATTCACCCATTCACACACTGGCGATGGCAAGCTACATTGTAGCCACAGCTGCCCTGCCCTGACAGAGGCGAGGCTGCCGGACACTGGCGCCACCGGGCCCTCTGACCACCACCAGTAGGCAAACATGGGGTTAGTTTCTTGCCCAAGGATATTTGGCATGCAGCCAGGATGCAGCCTGGGATCGAACCACCAACCTTCTGATTAGTGGCTGACATGCTCTGCCACCTGAGCTACAGCCACCCCAGCTACAGACGTCGGGTGACGTCAGCTTTCGCTGAGCGGACGTGTCAGTCAATGCTCAAAGTAAATGAACAAACAGATGGGTGGAAACATAATTAAGTTGCTGACATGTGACTAATAAATGGAGTTACCAGCAGATGTTCAGTTTTTCTTCATTTTCACAGCGCTCGCCGGGCGAAAAGGCCTCGCATCACACAACCATTCGCTATAGGTTTAAAGTGGACCTTCGCTACTGAGTCACCGCTTCACGTCTTCATATTTTGCTTTCAAGGAGCAAAATCCAGTTTTTCTCTGGACATTTGCTGCTTTTTCACTCATTTTCAGTCCAGTTCTTATACCTGACCATTTTTAACCATTTAGCATTAACAAATGAATCACTCAAACATAAAAACTCGCCAAACTCAAGAGATGAACCGGTGTTGAATCTACGCATAACAGAAAACTTAAAAAACACCAATTTCCATCTGCAGTTCAGTCCAGCTTCGAACACCTTTGATTCAAACTTGAGATCGTTTCCATGTGGAAGTAACCTGGAAAATGTTTTCCTGCTTTCTCTCTCTGTGAGATCACCATAACTTGCTGTCTGAGTCAGCTTCTTCTCTCCAACTTCTCCATGTCCTTCGTCATATTTCCTTTCAGGCTTGGGAAGATGTTCAAAACATCTGATTTCAAACAGCTGATTTATTTATGCAACATCGAGGTCTACGCTGAGACGGAAAAAGAAGACGCTGAAGTGAGGTTTAACCCTTTCGTGCAGTTTAGCACTCCTATCAGAGCTTTTTGATTGTCGATGGATCACTGTGGCCTTCACGACATCTGATAATGAGCAATAAAGAGCAATAAAAAACAAGCTCCTCGTGATAAACAACACGGGGAGATTCATTTAGCACATGAAGCTTTAATTTGAAATCCTGCAGCAGTAAGCAATACTGCACTTCCTCCTGCTTCCAGGACCACTGTCAATCAATAACCTCGGGTAATGAGAAATCAATCAGTGTGAAACTGATATCAGATGTTCCTAAAGGTGCAAGGGTCTGAAGAGAGATGATAACCAGCACAAGATATTCCAGCACTCATCTGGCCGCCCCTGGACCCTCCAGGAACACATAAAAACAGGACTCCAGCTGGACTGGGCTGGAATGTATGTGCCTACAGCCTGATCGCCCCCTGTGTGACCACCAATAACTGACACCCTCACTGCCACGCCGGAGGAGGAGACGGGGTCAGGGTGCACAAATTAAGGTAGTTCTATCCCCCCTCCATGATGATGCTGGGGTCAGAAACACGCCTATTGTGTGATTTATATAATGGTGCTGCACCTCACAGCAGGAACGTTCTAGATTTGAACCTTTGTGTTCATGTCTCTCACCTCCAGCGCGTATTTGCACCACCTGACTGGTGCTGGTCCAGTTCTGTTTTGGTTTGACAGTGTTTCTAGCAGAAGCTGTGCTCATTTTTTGTGCAAAGAAAATCACTTTCGTAGCTGAAAAACGAAGTCAACGTAGATGACGTCCAACATACGTCAAACACCGCCTGATGTTGTCACCACCATGTTTATGACATCATCATTTTTAGCCCGAAGCTCCGTGTGCTGGGTCAACCATGACAAGCATAAACTTCGCGTCACACCAAGATTTGTCTCCCAGATCAAACAGACACGATGCTGCAGGCTGATTGGATGAGGATGCTCTCCGACATCACTCTTCATCTCTTGAAACTTTGTGAAACTGGGGCAGCCGTTGCCTCAATGGATCGATCGGCTCAGGACCAGAGCGCCGTTTGATTAGCGTTTAAATAAAGGTTTTCAACTCACACTCATGCTGCTCGTAGGGAGGGTAGTTCAGCCGCACAGAGATGAGGATGAAGAAGATGAAGAGGGGCCAGACGATTTCCGCCAGGAGCTGGAGCTGAAACACACACAGACACACACTTTGACACATAATCCAGCTAGAAACGGGAAACCATTAGAGAAACACAAAAAGAGTGCGTGCATGCGGTCTAAAAGCCTCCTAATTGGCTCCTTTTAAGCTTCACGTGTTTATTATCAGAAGTTATTCATAATTAATGAAAAGTCACTGATCGATCAGCAGCAGAGCACGGAGCCCAAACCAGGTTACTGATCAGGGTCGAGTGAAAATCCCCCCCAAAAAACAAAAAACCCCACATAACTCCAGAGAGGTGACCTTAAACCCCCATCACACTGACCGCTTTGTTTCTGTGGTCAAACATAAAACAAGTCAAACAGGTGGATCTATCCAGATAACACAAACTGAACCAGTTAAAGTCAGCTTCATCTCAGTTTGCAAACATAAAAATGTAGAAAATAAAAGTATTTTTTGTATTTCCAGCTCCTCACATGATGCTTTGCATAAAAGCATCATTAAAAAAATGTTTCTCTCTGTTATCAGACATGTTATCAAACAATCAAGCGATTGATTTATCCAGAAACTGATCAGCTAAATAACATTTAATCTAAATTGCTATACAAGTAGTTCTTTCTCCGAGGACAGGCACACACTGATAACATATACAAACAACATGGCATATATTCCACGCTTTTAGACTTTTCTTCTGTAACCATCTGTAAAAATCCCACAAACACTTTTTCCTTCAGCTAAAGATATCGGCTGTTTCAGGAACCGCATGACTGATTAATAAATCCAACATGTCAGAGCAGAAGGTGCAGTTTCTTTAAGGACAGGAAGGTAAAGGCTCATAAAAGCAGCCTAATCGACTGTTTTGTCTAGCAATATATTTCGTTCAGTCCAACATTTAAGATTTTAAGGGTCTAAAGGTCCTCAAAGGTTATTTATGGACCAAGTGATTGACTGAATAATGCAGAAACTGAAAAACAAAAACCTTTAAAAAGACTTTTTATGGACCAAATGACACCCTGATGAATGAAAAGTGATGTAAAGGTTGACAGGCTAAGCCCTGATGTGTGTGCGTGTGTGTGTGACTGACCGTCTGTCGTCGTCTGTAGGTGAAGTTCTTCCACAGCAGCAGACCCAGCTGTGTAGTGACGGACATTCCTGCCGCCGTCGCTGCTCCGCCTGAATAATCGTCAGCAGCTGCTCGCTCTGCATTAAAGCACAAAACAACACTGAGCTCAAAGGTGCAGGGGTCAAAGGTCACATCAGATACTGAAGCTGCTGATCTCAGTCCAAGTTATCAGCTGAAACACAGTCAGCAACTGTTCCAGTGTTTCCCATCAGAGTCATCCTCACAGGGTTCCCTCTTCATTCTTAGCGAGACCATTTGGAAATAAAACAGGAAATATTTCACAAAGTTAAACACAAATTAAAATCTCATCAAACATTTTTAAATTATCTGAGGATTTTAATCAGAGACCTGACATGTGTATTTTTTTAAGGTGATCGAATCCTGACCCAGGAACCTTTGGAGCAAACTGCACATCTGCCGTCACATCTTTACAAACACATCAAACTGAAATCAGAACTGTGGGCGTCTCCTGGATGATCTCAGGAGAACATCGCAACCCGTTTCAGATCCAGGTATCCTTCTGGAGTCAGGATTTCATTTCCTTAGAATTATTTATAGCGTGGGTGAATCTAAGAAAATCTCCTTTTTTTACCCTCTCAGCTCTCTTGTTTTCCTCCCGGGTTTACTCCACTCTCTCATCCAGATTCGGTCACTTCTGGCTATGAATCCAACGTTCAGGATTTAAAAATACACACCTGAGGGTCTCTCACACCACAAACTCCAAACGAAGGTTCACGTTTTGGTTTCATGCACTCTGGTTTGCTTTAGCTCGAGTTTGTAATCATGCAACAGCACAAAAACAACTTCACCTCTCATACCTCCACCCTGCCATCATCACCTGCATGGGCTGGGTCTCGTTTTGAACCGTGATGACTACTGCCTTCTATTATGACTTTATTAAACAGAGAGCACATCCATCTTGTTGCCTGCCTGTAGGCGTTACTTTATCCCACTTTGTATAACATCAAACCATCATTCAGTAAAAACTTGATCCCTTCCTCGTATTTTGACTTTTTTTCAGGTCTGGATCTGCAAACAGCCTCCCACACACTAATTAGCAGAAAAGGTAGAGAACTCAAGGAAGGTCTAATACCGAGAAGCTGCAAATAAATACATTTCTGCATCTTCAAACACATGCCAAGTGATTTTGTTTCTCTTTGCGAGTTTTTTGCCGTAACTGCAATTGGTCTGAAAGTCTGAACCAAGCAAAACACTCCTGCACGCTAATAACAATCTGAGCACCTGTGATTTAAATCCAGCGTGTAAGCACTCAAACGCCTCAAAGTGCACGTGAAAATCTACACCATAAAGCTTGAAACAAAAGCTTTATCTCTTCCTTTACTGCGGCATGAATACGCACTTAGATACGATATGCGGTGTTTAAGGTCAGACATTTCAATAAATAAGAGATGTCAACTAAAGCTCCAGTCAGCAATATTCACCCATGTGACGTCAGCCCCTGTTTCTGAGCACTTCTCGTGGGCCACTGGTGGTTTTCTTTACAAAAAAGCAGAACACGCACAATGTAAGGCAACACGCAGATGCAATGCTCTCTAGTTCTGTATTTTATTTTGTATTGATTTTAATCGTTCACCTCCCACATACTGGTGTGGACACCGAGAGCTGCAGAGCCTAAGGATGTCCACGCCGAGCCCCACCCTCACCGTCTGATAACAAACTTCATGTCACCCTGCAGACTCTCGGATGCAGAAACAGTAAAACTTGATAAGAAAATAAAAAAGCGAGCTGGTTTTACACGTGCGCTACAATAACCTGAGAGTGAGCCACAGGTGTCGCTCTTTAACCTGCAGGTCTCGGGTTTAAAGTCTGGGTGGTGTGAGAGGTCATCATGCATCCTGTCGCCGGGTTTAGGCAGCTCAGGTGTTACTCGTGGTGTTAATGAGATTCAGGACATGGTAACAGAACAGGACCCTAAGAAGGGGACCAGGAATTAGGGACTAGGTGACTCTCACAGTCTGTTTTAATGGGTAATAACCCTTACAGTCAAAAACGCCCAGCATCCATCCCTGTGTATAGCAGAAACCCCGACAATGACTTTTCTTCATCTTTTAATTTTTTTATTTGAATTATATTTCGAGGAAGATCCTTTTGAAGGAATTTTAGTTATTATTCACCTCTGGCTCTAGTGTGTCTTTATCCTGTCTTCCTCCCCTCACCGCCAACCGGTCGCAGCAGATGGATGCCCCTACCCAAGCCTGAAAAGGGAGTTTTTCGTTGCGTCTTGTCTCATCACAAAGCAGGCACTAAAGATGGAGTCTAAAACGAATCGATGTACGCTCTCTGGACATCTACCTGCTGCATCACCGCAGGGATCAGCTGGACGTCAACTGGGAGCTGCAGCTTTCAGGCATGATTAATCTGATCTGAGCAAACACATGTGAAGAGCTGCAGTGCATGCTTAAGAAGTGATGAGTGCTGAGCGTTTAAGCTGGAACTGATCTTCTCCTATCACCGCTGGCATTTACATTCATGCCTGTCACCTGTATGTTAGGATCACGTCTTTAATCTAAACTGCTGAGCTCGATTTCTTCTCTTTCTTTTGTGCCGTGCAAATTATCAGCTGTGTTGTTTCTTCCGTCTCTGAAATAAGACTTAGCGTTACTTATCCTGGGCGTAGTCTTTAGTTTTGAAAGTTACAACTAATCTGCCTTAATCTTTGAGCAAAGTCGAGAATAGTCTGAGCCGCCCGTGGTTTTAAATAAAGTTTTCACTGATCTGAAAGTAGTTTAAGGAGCAGTGGAGAGTTTAATCAGCACTGGCCTGACTGATCAATGTGATTGGGCAAAAAGGAAGGAGACCACATGGACACACACACACACCTTTACTCACACTGATCAATGAGCTGCAGCTCCGCCTCTAACACACACACACACACTTGTTTCTTGTGGTGTGCCCATGATTAAATCAGAAGGTCAGAAACGGCCTACGGCACAACAGCTGCTTCATCTATAGAAAACTTTATCGATAAAGCTCGATCAGGTAAATCTGCAACTCCACATTTCACCTCTAAAACGCCACACTGTCATCGTCAAAGTCTGAACAAATCAATGCAGTTACTGATTAAGGGAAATGATTCGAATCCAATCATCAGTGATAACACTCCCAGACTGAGGATTTAATCTCTGTGGGTTCTAATAGACAGCGTGACACACACACACACACTGAGGAAATATGACAATACTGCAGCCTGACTTGGCATCATCTACAACACATAAAAACTGAGCTTGTCTTCACAGACTTTCTAAAAGCAGATTCTGCTGCTGGTTTCAGCTCATCAGATTTTACTCCCCTGGGACTGTGAAGGAGGCTGTGTGGCGTAAAAAAAAAAAAGCTGAGTAAATATGAACATTTCACACACACTCACATGTGGAGGTTCAGGAATAAACATTTCCGGGCAGATAAAACATGTCAGAAGCTTTGATCTGCAGTTCGATACCGCTTTAGGAGTTTGATTCATAAAACCTCAACTACGGCTGCTGCAGCGTCCCCAGCGGTACGATCACAAACTGCACATTCTGCTTCTCAACTCGCTTTAAAACTTTATTAAAAATCCAAATAACCCCCGCTAAATGTATTAAAATGCACTTTGAAAGCAAGAGTTTATTCTGTTTTTTAAAGAGTTTGACGTAAACCGGGTTCACGCCCCGATGTCCTCCTCCTCTTTACTGTCTCACTTTTTGTTCTTTGGAGTTTATTTTGGAGCCTCTTCTGCGCTTTTTATTCAGTCCGAGAACCTAAAGCGAACTTTTCCCTTTCCCCCTGAGAAAAAAAAGGTGAAGCGTTTAAACCGAGTCCTGTGTTCCCGCTGTACAGCAGTTAAACCGGATTAAAGAGCAGAAGCAGAGGGGAGAACATGAAAGAGGGGGACAGGAGGAGAGAAGCGAAGTGATCTCACCTGTGTGGCTAGCAGTCAGTTGCTCGGTCCGGGACTC